TGTCTTTTCTGTTTGAAACTTACCTCCTTGTCTCTGCCTATAAGAAATGTACTTTGTGATAGGATTACGATGCTCTACAGTTCTCCTTTTGACTTCTGAAGTGCTTACAACTGTGAGAGAGAAGATTTTTTAAATGATGCCACTTTTTATTTCTGGTAGTTGTCATGAATTGAACCTCCTTTGCAAATGAGTATGGATGAAGAGGGAATCGAATCTTTCGTCTTCACGCTTGGGGCGTCTTGCTGGCAAGATCGGACCCTCGATGTTCAATTATCCCTCAACTTTCAGAACAGTGAGAGATATTAAGCACTAAAACAACATTATTGAATATGAGATGTGGAGAAAATGCGACATTCCAGGACATCAGTTAATCCGGAATCACATTTTTGTAAAGCATTTCACTGTGAAAATGTTTTGACAAATTTATCCGCATTTATAATGTTGTCACTTAAACAAATTTGTTCATAATAAAACTGGCACAAAAACACAACATGCTGCAGCAATCTGTGATGCCATTTCTGATGCTTCAAAGCGTTATTCCAAGTGTTTTCATCCATGGTTCGAAGCGGTTTCAAGCGTGGTTTTATGGTTCCAGAAGTGGCTGTTAATAGATACAAATTTGGTTCTTAATGGTTCCAAAGAATTTTAGCAATAATAATTTGTTTGTGGGAAGAACCAATACACTTGCGGTATGACAATCCATTATGATGTAGAAGTTCTAAGTCTGGTTCCTTGAAATTCCTAGCTTTCCAAGTTTTCTCCTTTAGCCTCCTTCTCAAGAAATTTTCGGGAGGAAAAAATTTTCAGCAACTTGTTGGTTGATTTTAGCAAAATCGCTACCCCTTCGGAAAAAAACGAATAGCCTCGACTTTCTTAAACAAAGAACCGAAGCTAGGCCCCAACTTTATTGGCACAGCTGGAAATTCACTGAGCAAATTGTGATAGCTGCGTCTTAGCCTAAGGCTTCGAAGCTCGTTTTCATATGTTCACAACACGTTTCCTGCTCTCATATTCCATGTAGTTTGTACCCTTATGGTACAAGACGTTCACTGCTGTAGCCACCGTCCGACTGACTACTACCGCTAATCGGCCGTCGTTGCTCTTTCCTGAAACTTTACATATACAAACTTGAGATTCGGGATTATGCACTGACTGCTCGAAGATGTGCAAGGATGAAGAACAGTTGTGCCGAACTAAAATCCAACTATTTTTTTCGCATTCCCTCGCCCCCCCGCCCCCTCCCTCCCTTACCCCCTCAATCCATTCTCTACAAGAGATGGTTGCAGTTCTCTGTCAGTTTTTGATGGCAAGATTGACCCTAATGCTAACTTCGCAGAAGTAGCACTTGCCAATAGCAGACAAATGTTGACGAGGCAGCTGATTGCTTCCTCTTCCCAGGGTTGCTTAAAAAGGGAGATTCGACTTCCTAGCGTGCGCCAGTACCAATTTACCATCGAAAAGAATGAATGAATTAAAGAAGAATTAGTTATCCGGGACGGATATATGAATGTTTGACGTCCAACCCGAGGGGATCGGTTTGATTTCAGTGTATCTTGCCGCAGTATTACATCCATCAGAAGTGATCAGAAAACGTTTGAAGTAAATGTTTTGAATTTTCTATGTGAATAGAATTTTGTTAGGAGACGAACATCGGAATCGCCAGTGGACTGATAACTAGATGATACAGCACTGGTCAATGCAGTTGAAAAGTTACTGACTGTGTAACTGGAGTAGCATAAGCAGCAAAAAGATAAGATGTTTTTTTTTAATGAATACTTCCAAACACTATTAGGAGAGCCTCTACCAGAAATACCACTGGTCAGTTGTCCGACTGATCAACCCATATTTTTGGTAAAAACACGTGGAAAAAATTTACGCAATTGTTGCAGCAGCTTTGCGGATGGATTTGATGAAGTGGTTTTTGACTTCCGCTTGACAGCAACATAAATGATAGAGAGGTTCGCGTGATGAACCGATATGAATTAGAACGAAGATATATTGAGATTGCGCCGATTCGCAGTCACGCTCGTTCACTTCCACCTCGGCAATTGGCAGTATTCGATAGACCTTCGTCTGAAAAAAATATGAAGAAACGGAACAGCACTGAAATCACCGGAATTGAATTAAATTATAAAGATTTTTTAAATTCCATTTTCTTAAAGGTTTGGCGAAAGAGAGAAGAAGGCGTTTGAGCTAAAAGATAGCTTTTTTGCTGAAATGTGGATTATGTTTTAGGATATTTACCTTATTTTTAGACAGTGTTGGACAGAAAATTAGAATAAGTGTGCTGAACACGAATGCTACGCATGGAACAGGGCGTGAACGATTCTCGGAACAATTCAACCAGTTTACGTGCGCAAACATTAGCAACTGGCTGAAATTCATCCGCGATACCTGCAAATTTCAAGCATTTCAAAACTTTCCTTTCACAACTTGAATGGTTGCTATGCACTTTTAAAAGAACGCAGAAAAGGTCATCAGTGCGATGGACAGATCCGCTTGAACGGGTATGTGGAAT